AGATACCCATGTTCCCTTCTGCTGCCCAAGACACATCTCCTATTAAGTTCCCTTAACGAACTCTTAATGTAAAAACAAAAAACAATGGAATGTCAGCAGAGTGCCGGCCACACCCAAAGATGTGGATGGCACTCATGTCAGAATTCCAGACAAAAGACATACGGTTTCTCAGCTCTGTCGTGAGGATGTGCTTTGCAGCGATCAGAAGCTCCTTTCTGAGGTGTGCAGTCTCTGCTGGGCAATTTGAAAGCAACTGTAACATTCCTTTTACCATTTGCTGAGAGTATTTAGTCACCAACTCCTGTAAAAACAAGAGGAAAACAACAGTTACATTGATTGGTGGGTATTAAGAAAAACCCAAAATTTATAAACTTCTTAAAAAATTCAGTAAAACTAAACTTGGCTCAAAGGACCCCCAGGAATGAACAGGCCTAATAAACAAGTACTATACAAAAATTTTTAATAGTTTGTGTGTGCATACTGCCACACTAGAAGGATGGTTAGAAACATAAATAGCAGTTTATTTTACATAATGGGGGTTATAGACGTCTTTTTTTGTGCTTTTCTCAACTTTCAACAGTGAATATACACTATGGTAAGAAGAAGGAGGGAGAAATATTAAAATTTTAAAAAAAGATACTCTTCAATATGTCATCCCATTAATGTAAGTTCTCAACGACACCAAAAACATGTTTAATCAACTCAGAATAAGTTTTAATCACAGTCTTTTTTTGAGGTGTTTTAGCAAGGCAACTCACCATAGTGATTCAAGCTGACTAAAATATCAAGGGGTACCTAACTAAAATTTCTAAAACCAAAAGCTCCATTTTTAGTGCTTGATAGAGCCTGAAAATGGGAGGAGAAAGTGGACTGCAAATGTACAAAAGAAAAATTTTGAGGGGTTGATGGAAGCATTTTATATTTTGATGTGTTGGTGGTACCAAACTATATGCATTTGTCAATCATAGAACTGTTTACCTATTAAAGGTGAACTTTATTGTACGTAAATTAAGAGCTCAGGAAACCTAACTTAAAACAAGTCATTCCCGGCTGGCATGGCTCAGTGGTTGAGCATCGACCTATGCACCAGGAGGTCACGGTTCAATTCCCGGTCAGGGCACATGCCCAAGGGTTTGGGCTCAATCCCCAGTGGGAACCTGCAGAAGGCAGCTGATCAATGATTCTTTCACGTCATTGGTGTTTCTGTCTCTCTCTCCCTCTCCCTTCATCTCTGAAATCAGTAAAAATATATTTTTTTAAGTAAATGAACTTACCTGGTAAATTCTGATGATATAAGCTAAAAATGACAATGTTTTAATCTGAGCAGCAATGAAATCAGCATACAACTCCTTGTTGTAAAGCTTATGTTGCCTGAATGAGAAATAAATAAAATTTGCATTATTAGCTCTTAACTCTTTAGGTGACATTAACATTAATTAAAAGCCTATAATAATTACTGAGCCCAAAAGTCTGATTTCTGCACAGACCAGAACAACATAGCAACAACAGTTACACTCTTCACTGTTATGCATTTCCAAATAATATAAAGGGTTTAGAGGCATAAAGCAAGCAGTTCTCTAAACCATTCATTCCATAACAGTTACAACGTTTACCCCATAAAGCCAGTCATCCAAACAGTGTTAGGCTATGTATTTACTCAGTAAGAGCCGATGCTAGGGCCACAGAGGATGTTAACACTCATTCACCCTCAGATCCTGCCCTCAAATGACACAGAGCCAAATAGCCACAAGACAGTGAGTGTTAAAGGTCTTAAGAGGAAATGTATAAAGTCTGAGAAAAAGTTTCACTGAGAGAATGAATATGGTTCACCTAGAGCAGTGGTCGGCAAACCGCGGCTCATGAGCCACATGCGGCTCTTTGGCGCCGTGGCATGGGCCACAAAGTTTCAATTGCACTGAATGTGCGCGCCCGCACGTGGTATTTTGTGGAAGAGCCACACTCAAGGGGCCAGTTTGCCGACCACTGACCTAGAGTGATGGGTGGGGGAATTAAGAGGGTAAAGAACATTCTAGCACTCATGCTGAAAGGAACAGCAAGAACAAAGAAAGGCTTAAGGCAAGAAAGGTTTAGACATCCCACAGATAGAAATCTAGAATATAGTCATTCCTAATAATAGTTCTAAATTTATGAAACACCAAAAACCAAGGTTTAATATCTTTAGCTCATCTTTTAAAATAAGGAGTAAAATAACTATTACTATCATCATTGAAATACAAGTTCAAAAAGTAAAAAATATAATTTGCCCAAAATTTTATCACTTAAAAATTTTATGTCTTACGAATAATTACAGCATGTATTTTTTACTTGGAATTAAAGCAATGTGACAGTCAGCTTTGTCACTGTCCAAAGAAATCTCACCTGGCCTGTGTGGACACCTGAATTGCAATGGTATTCATGATCAGGGGCACAAATTCAGCAACAACATTGTGGATATTCAGTTTGTAGAGCTGAAAGCAAACACATCAGATTTTCATGATTTCACACTTCCTGCATAGCAAAATAATTTGGCATACCAAAGAAACTACAGGAGTTAGCATGTGTGTATCATACACATCTATTTGCCACAGATTATTAGATGTGAACTTTATCATAAAATAAGAACCAAAAACCCAAGAAACTAGTAACAATACACATACCTGATACATTAAAACAACAATAATTGGCAATTCTGCCAATACTTTCAGAGAAAGAGATCCTCTTGGAATGATGGAATGCTGAAAGAGAAAACAAGCAGGACAGTGGTTATCCTGGTGGCACTTAAAAGAGCCCCAATCAGTACCCCACTACTGAGCATTGCCCCACTGAAATAAAAGGAATAGAAAATCCTGGCCGAAACCAGTTTGGCTCAGTGGATAGAGCGTCGGCCTGCGGACTGGGAGGTCCCAGGTTCGATTCCGGTCAAGGGCATGTACCTTGGTTGCGGGCACATCCCCAGTGGGGAGTGTGCAGGAGGCAGCTGGTCGATGTTTCTCTCTCATTGATGTTTCTAACTCTCTATCTCTCTCCTTTCCTCTCTGTAAAAAATCAATAAAATATATTTTAAAAAAAAGAAAATGCTGATACATCTTTGTAAATATCTGTGGGAAAAGAATCAAACTATTTTTAAAATAAAGTACATAGAAGAAAGAAAAAAAAAAGAAAGCCGAAACTGGTTTGGCTCAGTGGATAGAGCGTCGGCCTGCGGACTGAGGGGTCCCAGGTTCGATTCCGGTCAAGGGCATGTGCCTGGGTTGCGGGCACATCCCCAGTGGGGGATGTGCAGGAGGCGGCTGGTCGATGTTTCTCTCTCATCGATGCTTCTGACTCTCTATCTCTCTCCATTCCTCTCTGTGAAAAATCAATAAAATATATTTTAAAAAAAATAAATAAATAAAGTACATAGAACTATGATTTAATAGAGGTTTTTATATTTTCTAATGTAATCACCTGTAGTAAATAACTTTGGGAAAATTTGTCAAAACTTAGAAATTCAAATCACCTGAGAAAAATTTATATATACATATATATTTTTTTAAATCCTCAGAAGATATGTTTTTATTGATTTTTAGAAAGAGAAGAAAGGAGAGAGGGAGAGAAAGAAACATCGATCAGCTGCCTCCTGCATGTGCCCCAACCAGGGAAAAGAACCTGCAACATTTTTGGTGTACAGGACTACACTCCAACCAAGCGACCCTGCCAGGGCCATCTGAGAAAAATTTTAAATTAGTATCTAGTATTTACTTAAAAGAGCAATAGCAGAAAGTGCATATTTACCCGGTTTTATTAAAAATACTTAGAAACAGAAAATGCTTGCAATAAATTTAAGAAAAAAATTTAATAGTCCTAATATAAAAGAATTCATAAAACAGATAAGGAAAATGTCACACTCATACAAATGGGCAATTAATAGGAACAGACAAGCAAAACAAAAACAAAGATTCATAAACAGAAAACAAGTTTGTAACTCAAGAAGAGCAAAGGAATGAAAGCCTCATTTTTATTCAAAATGCAGTTTCTTATTTATCCTAGCACAGATTCAAACTTTCTGCAGCCCTAGCCAGTTTTGCTCAATAGTTACAGCGTCAGCCCACGGACTGAAGGACCCTGGGTTCGATTCCGAGTTTGATTCTGGTCAAGGGTATGTAGCTCGGTTGCAGGCTTAATCCTTGGCCCTGGTCAGAGCATGTGCAGAGGCAACCAATTCATGTGTTTCTCTCATATGGATTTCTCCCTCTCCCTTCCAATCTCTCTAAAGATCAATGGAAAAAAATATTCTCAGGTGAGGATTAATAAAACATTCTGTAAAACCATTGCAGTAAAGCAAATACAAGTGATATTCTTAATTCAATCATAAAAATATAGTGAACAAGTGCTCAATACACATTACCTATGTGGCAGATATTACAAATACATTACCTGCAGATAATGACTAGCATTACCTTCAAAAAATTCCGCAAGACAAGTTTTTCAGATAATGAGAGGGAAAATTAAGACCAAAACAAAGGTTCATGAACTTTCCTATATTCAGAAAACCCAAGTGTTGGAGCCAGAACATCATCCCAGCACTTCTGTCCCCAGAGCCCAGGCTCCCAGGGACTGAACTATAATTTATACGTAGTTTAAAGGGACTCATAAATACCAATAGTAAGGATGGAACGGAGACTGATCAGCTTCTCTTTCCAACAGGTGATCTGGACTTCCACTACAATTTTGTTTATACCTTTGCATGAAAGCAAGAGTTCATTTTCACCACTCAGAGGCTGCACAGTAAAATCAGTGATGCTCTCTCATGCATACACATTTGTTCATCTTAAATGCCTCCAAGTGTTTAAGAAAGAAAACAAAACACTTAAGCAGTTTAAAACGTCACTCTCTCATTTATTCGTCTACCAAGTAGAGACCAAGTTAAAGCAAAACAACTGGAAAAACTTACTGTTCTCGTCTCACCGTCCTCACGCTCGGGATTGACCTTCACAGCAATTGCTGTGATCATACCAACCATTTCCGGGGGAGGGACTGTGTTCTCAGGGATCACCTGAGGGTTCTCAAAGTAGCGGTTCTACATAAGAACGAGAGAAATGGTTTTTCCTAATAAAGTCATACACAACATTCCTTCACAAAATAGCCCTGACACATGTGGTGGGAGAAACCAAATGTCCTACATGTACCCTGCTCAATCCCATAGTACTTGAGATCCACTCTATTCAATACCAAAAAGACAACGTGGCGGAGACAACATTTCTCCACCTTCCACAACAGAAAATAAAAACTTGTCCTAAGTATTTTTTGCTCCTTCCTGGCTGAGAAAAGATGAAATGCATGCCAGGTTACATTAAACCTCAGTGAGGAAATGAGAATGGCCCCCATCCCTCCAGTGATAAGAAACTAGGAGCTAGTCCCTCTTGAATTAACTTTTCAAATAGTCTCCGAAATAGAGATCAAAGATGGGACCAGAAGCAAAGAACAGAAGACATGTTTAAAGGCCAGGACCTCACTGTCATCCCTTAGTTCTCAGTGGAGTTTGGACCTCATATTAAACAAAACAGCTTCGCATGAAAAACACTGACTGAAATGGTAGGTGACACAATTTGATAACTCAAAATGTAATTAATTTCGTTTGACACATTAGCAGATTAAAATCCTTAAAATACCTAAAAGTTAATTTTACAACATGTTCATTTAAAAAAAATTTTAAGCTTAACAAAATTCTTTAAAGTAAAAACAGACTTATGTGCAATAAATTTTTACCAAAGCATTATTTGTGATAGTAAAAAATTGAAAAGTGAGAAAACCAGCAACAGAGAGATGGTTGGCATACATGCATATGATAGAAAATTATGGGGCCACTAAAATTACGACTGCCAGAGAAAGATCTTGGATGTTCTAAACTGTTAATAGCAATACCTTCTAATAAGTGAAAATAAAATGGAGAGCAGATGTTCCTGTTCTATTCCACACACTTTTACATTGTTGGCATTGCTTGGGAAGAGTTCTTTCAACAGAAAAAAATTTAATAATACAGAAAAATGCTGAAAGCATACACTACCTCCCCGAAAAGGCTTTATAATTGTGAGCACAACCATCTTTAAAGAGCACAAAACATCAATGTCAGTGGTTGCTTACAAGTCAAAACATTATGGATTTATCTTGCCTTTTTTTGCAAACTTTCTACAATAAGAATATATTAAAGTATTTCATTTAAACAGTGAAACCAAAAGAACTACTTTTTTAAATGACTGATTTATCAACCTAGATTCTATCAATAAACATTCCCCACTCTAAAATTAGCATTCTAAAATTAGCATCCCCCAATTATTCCTCCAACGCAAGTGCTCCAAAATCCCTTTGGAATAAGAAAGTAATAAATAAATATAAGTAATAAATTCAAATAATATTAAAACCATACCACTACTTTTGGAAGCTCCTTATAAATCTGTTTCACAAAATCCAAAAAATGATGAATCTAAAAAAAAAAGATATACAGAAGATATTTATAAACAGAAAATGCTTACAATAAGTAAGAAAAATGTTAATAGTCCTAATATATAAGAATTCATAAAATAGGTAAGAAAAATGTCAGACTCAAAACACAAACAAGCAATGAATGTGAACAAAAAAGAAATACAGAAGACTGACAAACAGAAAACAAGCTTTCTAATTCAGAAGGAGCAAAACAAATAAAAATTAAAATAAATGCCACTTTTTGACTTACAAAAAGTAATACTACACCATGCTAGAGAGATTGCCATGGGAGGAAGACTCTCATAAACTACTGAAACCTTTCTGGAAATCAGTTCAATACTATATTTATCAAGAGCATGAAAACATTAACACATTTGACCTAGAAATTCTGTCAATAACTCTGGTTTATGAAGTAATTTGAACTATAAACATATTCAATCATAGTCATAAAATAAAATTTTTTGAAATACTTTAAATATCCAAAAATGAGGGTACCCATATGTAAGAATATTATACATCTATTAAAAATTAATTTTAGCCGAAGCCGGTTTGGCTCAGTGCATAGAGCGTTGGCCTGCGGACTGAGAGGTCCCAGGTTCGATTCCGGTCAAGGGCATGTACCTGGGTTGCGGGCACATCCCCAGTGGGAGGTGTGCAGGAGGCAGCTGATCGATGTTTCTCTCTCATCGATGTTTCTGGCTCTCTGTCTCTCCCCCTTCCTCTCTGTGAAGGATCAATAAAATATATTTTAAAAAAAATTAATTTTATAAAGAATCTGAGTGGGAAATGCTTATATATAATGTGAAGGGAAACAATCAGAACATAAAATGTCGTATACAGTATTATTGCAATCATGTAGAAAATACTACATATATAGAAGGTGGGAAAAGTGAAAGGCAATCAATATTGTTTTTAAGATGGGAGGAATTCTATTTCATCGTTTTGCTTCTAATTTCTAAATAATCTATAACAGGCATTTACTAAGCTTATCATCAGAGAAGACACTGTATTAATTACTGCTAACACAGAGGATCTAATACTTACTCTATAGGTGCTAGTCACTGTGTTAAGAACTTTAACTTTTGTATTTAATTCTTCAAGCAATCTTTGAGGATATACTGTGATTGTCCCCATTGTACAGAAAAGGCTCCAAATGGCTATAAGTTTACCCAGTTTCACATAGCTACTGAGTTGCAGAGCGGATATTCAAACCCAGCTGACTTCAAAACACATCTTAACCCTTGAATAACATAAAATGATCAGAGCCTTCTGGCACATCAGACATTTCTGAATACCAGAAGCACCCAAACAGCTCTGCCCATCTGGTTAGTTAATACATATCCACATGACTAAACAAATTCAGTTAAATACTCATACACACATTCAACATAGAAAAGGTAACTGCTAAATCTATAAAGACTTTTCCCCAAAAAGGCTACATATTTTCTACACTTTAAGCACCATGTGTTCTGTCAATACTAAAGGAGAATAAAATTTTACACAGCACAAAGAACTGTCAGCAAGCACACTACAGAAAAGCTCCAAGGATACTTACTTCTTGTGTGATGGGCGGCCTGAATTGTTTGTGTAGCTCAATAATTATTCTTAGACAAATAAGGACGTTTTCTTCATTTTCCGTCTTTTAAAAAAAGCATTTAAAAGATTTACAATTCTAAGGACTTATTTTAATCTAAAGATTAAAGACTATTTTCTAAGCATTTTTCTTTATACACACACTGCATCAACCAAATTTGATTTGATTTATTGAAAATTCATGAAATCATAAAACACCGCTGCCCAAACAGGAAGACTTCATGGTCTTTGGTGGACCATCTGAAGGGCAGCGCAGCAGTGAGTTCTGGTCAATAACACTGACAGATAAGTTAACTGACATTTGTGGCAAGTCACACTATGAACTAAGGTCTAATGGCCCCACTGACACTTATCATTGCTTGAAAGTATTGCCAAAAGAATGAACAATTACTGAGCACCCACCAAGTATTGAACCCTGTGCTTAACACTTCACACATACTCTCTAAGTATGAGGTGCCATCCACACTATACCTAGAGGAAGCTAAGGCTCAGAGAAGATAAGCAACATGACTAACATGATACAGCTAATAAATGACAGAGCCAGGATCTGAATCCAACTCTCTCCCCGCTCCAAAGCTCATCTTTCCAAGGGGCCCAGAAACACAATAGAATTCTAAACACTTCAAGACAAGTACAGCAAGAAAACAATTTTAGAGATTAACTTAACAGGTACCAAATGAAGTAGCCCCAAGAATTGGAGAGACTCTTTATGAGCACCTACTGTGCTTCACACGCACAGAACTAGAAAGCACGAAGCCAAAGAGCCCTGTGCTCCGAGTTTGTCAACAACCACCCCTCACTTTGAAAGATTTCTACGATGTAGAGTCAATTTCTCAGTGACTCAAAAATACGAAAACAAGCCGAAACCGGTTTGGCTCAGTGGATAGAGCGTCGGCCTGCGGACTCAAGGGTCCCAGGTTCGATTCCGGTCAAGGGCATGTACCTTGGTTGCGGGCATATCCCCAGTGGGAGATGTGCAGGAGGCGGCTGATCGATGTCTCTCTCTCATCGATGTTTCTAGCTCTCTATCTCTCTCCCTTCCTCTCTGTAAAAAATCAATAAAATATAAAAAAAAATATATGAAAACAAAATAAAACTTTAATAATCTTTCATGGTAATTTGGTTGGGAAAATGGACATTAGGAACTTTAGTGAAGTTGTATAACACTAGATTTTACATTAAGAAACTCATTTAAAGTTTTTAATATTGCAAAATAACAAGAATTCCCAAAGGTTACCTCTAAAAAGCGAAACATCACAGACAGAACATTTTTGGTATGAGGACGAAGATGTTCATTGGTTGGTATTCTATGGATGATTTCAAGAACTAGTTTCCGCAATTGCTGGTGAAGAAAAATAAAAAATGTAAATATAAAATCCTCCCAAGGGCTCCAAAGTAATTCTTTTGCTTTCTACAAGTGTCACACAGCTGTCCGTACCCAGTACTGGTAACCTCACCCCAGGATCAATCCCATTTTAGAAACACTCCTATATACTATTCCAATGTAATCCAAAGCAAGTACAATATTTCTACAATTGTGTAGCAAATCGAGTCACATTTTTCCTCTTTCACACCTTATTTTCAGCAGAAAGGGCACTAGTGTGTGAATGCAGAGTGGATTTAAAATGAAAGAGCAAAACAAACAGAACTTCATTTGAGATCTCCCTCCATAATCTCAGTTTAGCTTCTATAATGTCCTCCCCAATTACCTTGGGCCCGATGACTAATTTCATCATAAACTGAACTAATCATTCATGATTCTAACTATGGAGCTGACAAGTGAAAGGTAGGTCAGCCCTAGCCGATGTGGCTCAGTTCCTTGGACATCGTCCCTTGTACCAGGAGACTGCCAGTTCCATTCCCAATCAAGGGCACATGCCAAAGTTATGGGCTCAATACTCAATAGGGGGCATGCAGGAGGCAGCTGATCAATGTGCTCTCACATTGAGGTTTCTCCCTCTCCCTTCCTCTCTCTAAAATCAATAACTAGCCCTAGCCGGTTTGGCTCAGTGGATAAAGTGTCAGCCTGTGGACTGAAAGGTCCCAGGTTTGATTCCAGTCAAGGGCACATGCCTGGGTTGCGGGCTCGATCCCCAGTAGGGGATGTGCAGGAGGCAGCCAATCAATGATTCTCTCTCATCATTGATGTTTCTATCTCTCTCCCTCCCCCTTCCTCTCTGAAATCAATAAAAATATAGTTAAAAAATAATAAAATAAAATCAATAAACTATTCTTTAAAAATAAATGGTAGGTCAAACATATATATGCACATATATATACATATATATATGTATATATATATCTTGAGCTAGTACAGCATAAAGAACTTTATTTAGCAGTATATTTTCACTATTATGGTAATGTTTTTAGATATTTTTAAGAGACACATGCTGAACTATTTATAGAAAAAAAACCGATGTGATGGGATTGTTTTAAAATAATAAAGACAAGCAGGAGGTAAGAAGACTGGGTGGAGGTATAAGTAAAACAAAATTAGCCATGAATTACAGGAATTGAAATGAATAAGAACACAGTTGGACGAGTATGGGAGGGTCAACAGACTACTGTTCCTTCTTTTGTATATATGCCAATTCATTTGTAATAGTGTACATCAAGCATGTCAAAGTCACGGAGGCCCACAAGGAATATTTTTGCAGCCCAGCCAATATAACGGTATATAAGAAACATTTTAATAAAAATTTCATAATTTAATTTTTACAATATCCTGTTATACATAATTACTGATAATAAACTACAACTGGGAATGGGCCTAAGCCGTCAGTCGGACATTCCCCTGAGGGCTCCCGGACTGCTAAAGGGTGCAGGCCAGGCTGAGGGGACGCCCCCCCCTCCCCCAGAGTGCACAAATGTCATGCACTGGGCCTCTAGTTTAAACTATAAAAGAGATGGTCTTGACAAAATAAAACCAAGACATTTAACTAAGCAGGCAAAAGCCCTAGGCAGAGTTATCCTTCTGTGACAAAACCACTTTCATTTGTAAGTGAAACCATGGGTTTATTTAAGTGTTTTAATTCATAAATGCTTGCAATACTACTATGTGACACTTTTTTCTCACTGGCAGTTTTAAACAAATTACCTGAGCTGGTTTCTCCTGAAGAAACTGAACTTCTCCATCTTGAAGAAATGTAAGAAACCGAGGGATGATATGTTCCAGGAATGTAGAATATTGAGGAGATGATGTTACATTCTAATTATACAAAAATAAAAGAAAACCTCATTCAATTTGTGTATATATTTTCACTTTGAATTCACCTAGTATTATAATAATCTCAAAGGACTATAAAACATTTTGCCTGGCTGGTGTGGCTCAGTGTTTGAGCCTCAGCCTATGAACCAGGATGTCATGTTCAATTCCCCATCAGGCACATGGCCAGATTGTGGGCTCAATCCCCAATAGAGGGCATGAAGGAGGCAGCTGATCAATGATTCTCTCTCATCCTAGATTTTTCTCTCTCTCCCTCTCCCTTCCTCTCTGAAATCAATAAAATTATTTAAAATTAATAAAAATAGCTCTGGCTGGTTTTGCTCAGTGGATAGAGCATCGGCCTATGGACCAGGATTGATTCCAGTCAAGGGCATATGTCCAAGTTGCAGGCTCAATCCCCAGTAGGGGGCATGCAGGAGGCATCCAATCAATGATTCTCTTATCATTGGTGTTTCTCTCTCTCTCTCTCTCTCTCTCTCTCTCTCGCTCTCTCTCTCTTCCCTTCTCCCCTCTCTGAAATCAATAAAAATATATTTTTAAAAAAATAGTAAAATATATATGAAAATTAATAAATAAAGGCAGGGAATCTGCAGAGAAGTAACATCTATCAAGAACCACATGGAGCCGAAACCGGTTTGGCTCAGTGGATAGAGCGTTGGCAGGTTCGATTCCGGTCAAGGGCACATGCCTGGGTTGCATGCTCAATCCCCAGTAGAGGGCGCGCAGGAGGCAAATCAATGATTCTCTCTCATCAATGATGTTTGTATCTCTCTCTCCCTCTCCCTTCTTCTCTGAAACCAATAAAAATATATTTAAAAAGAGAGCCACATGAAAATTCTATAACTGAAAGTACAATAACTGCAATTTTTAAATGCAAAAACTAAATATATAAAACTGAAATTTAAAAATAGCATCCCAGCAGATTAGAGAGGACAGAAAAATAGTCAGTGAACTTGACTGCAGTGGTTAGAAATTATCCAAACTAATACACAATTGAAAACTGAAAAATGAATAGAGCCTGAGGGACCTAATGGACAATATAATTGTAGTTTGTAAAGCGCGGGGGAAAAAACTCCGTGATCAAGAGCACAGAAGTTATAAGCAATAGAGCCAAAACTGATATCCAGTTCTCATTCCATAAAAATATATCACTTATGGCCCGAACATAAATTCACAGCAAAAGTCTGAATGCAACCTGAGGATATATGGGTAAATAGATTTAAAAATGAAAAAAATGTGCCCTCACCCTAGCCCAGCCGTGGGCAAACTACAGCCCGCGGGCCGGATCCGGCCCCTTTGAAATGAATAAAACTAAAAAAAAAAAAGACCGTACCCTTTTATGTAATGATGTTTACTTTGAATTTATATTAGTTCACACAAACCCTTCATCCATGCTTTTGTTCCGGCCCTCCGGTCCAGTTTAAGAACCCATTGTGGCCCTCGAGTCAAAAAGTTTGCCCACCCCTGCGGCCTAGCCGGTTGCTCAGTGGTTATAGTGTTGGCTTGCAGACTGAAGAGTCCCGGGTTCAATTCCCAGCCAAGGGCACCTACCTCGGTTGCAGGCTTGATCCCCAGTACTGGTTGCATATGGGAGGAAACCAATTGATATGTCTCTCTCACATCAATGGTTCTGTCTCTCCCCTTCCCTTCCACTCTCTCTGAAAATCAATGGGATGAATATGCCCTGGTGTGAGTAAATAAAATACACTTAATTTAAAAAAAAAGTGCCCTGGCCGGGTAGCTCAGTTGGTTAGAGCATCATCCCAATATGCCAAGGTTCTGGTTTTGATTGCCAGACAGGGCACATACAAGAATCAACCAATGAATGAATAAATAATCGATGCAACAAATCGATGTTTCTCTCTCTCTCTCTCTCCCCACCTCTCTCTAAAATAAAGAAAAAAAGAGAAAAAAGAAAATATTAAACAACCAAAACCAAGGCAAGTATCACTAGTATGAACAAGTTGGACAACACTGTGTACAAACTTGCCAATTTCACTTTTAGAATACAATAAAGTACATTAGCAGAGATAATGTTTTTTTGTTACTATAGTAGAAAGGTTGACAGAAAAGCAATAGAAAAGCCCAGGACAATATTTAGCTCAAAATGAAAAGCCTAAAATATAAAGATCATACCTCAAAATTTTCGCTAACTTCTTGCATCATTTTTAACTTTGTTTCATCAGCTGTAAAATAAGTAAAAAAATATCAGGTAATTGAAATTATGTTAAGGATGATCTCAAAATTACTGGATTTAATAAGAGAAGCAATCAGATCTTATCAGTTTGACTGTCATAGTCCAACAGAAGGCACATAACTAGTTCCCTACAACCAGTCAGGCGCATTCATACTCTCAGACACATGTGTACATGCAGACAAGGACAGATAAATACACACACACACACACACACACACACACTGTGCCTCTTCAGGGCTCCAGCCAGTAATGATCATCACTTTGCTTCTCCACAAGGCAGAGAAAGGAAATTTGGATACAAGTTAATGTTATTATTTATCTTCATGTGCACATTCTTTAAACTGAGATGAATGAGTCAAATTGATGCATTTCTTAATGACAAAAAGGATCAACTCACGGGTATTTACATCTGTGAGAGCTGCCACAAACTGGAGATATTTTTTCATCAGAGTGGTTTGGTCAACCACTGTGGCCCCTTGTGTTGCAACAAATGCCATTTTTCTTTTGATCTAGTTTATTTCTCAAGAGAAAAGTATCAGGTCCATGAGTCCACCCACTCTATGAAAAGAAACATAAGTTACCAATTTATTAAGGGCACAGGTTCACAATCTCTATGAAAATCCTACTTAAATGCCTAAATTTATCTAAATGCTTTGCATTAATCTAGAATACACCATTCCCTGTTTTTATAAAAATAAAATTTACACCCTAGCCAGTTTGTAAAGTGTATTATAATAACCTCAAAAGACTATAAAACATTTTGCATTGCCCTAGCCCGTTTGGCTTGGTGGATATAGCGTCAGCCTGTGGACTGACAGGCCCCAGGTTCGATTCCAATCTAGGGCACATGCCGGGGTTGCGGGCTCGATCCACAGTGGGGGGTGTGCAGGAGGCAGCCGATCAATGATTCTCTCTCATCATTGATGTTTCTATCTCTCTCCCCCTCTTCCTTCCTCTCTGAAATCAATAAAAATATTTTTAAAAAAAACAAAAAACAACATTTTGCATTATAGTGGATAGAGCCTCAGCTTGTGAATGGAAGGGTCCTGGGTCCAATTCCAGTCAAGGGCTCGTACCTCAGTTGCAGGCTCAATCCCTGGCCCCACGTTGGGGTGTGGGAGGCACCCAATCCATGTTTCTCTCTCTCTCTGCACCTCTGCCTCTGCCTGTCTCTCCCCCTCCCTCCCTTCCAGTCTCGCTGAAAATCAACGGAAAAAAACGTCCTTGGTGAGGATTAGAAAAAATATAAAATAAACTTTACCTAAGTCCATTTTAACTATTAATTTTTTAAACACAACTTTTCTAGAGAGATGCTTTTTTTCTACCATATTTCCTCCTTTCCCTAAGCCAGAGGTCGACAAACTTTACATTATCTACAAAGAGCCAGATAGTAAATATTTTAGGCTACTCGGCCATGGACACCATATAAATCAGTGATGGTGAACCTACGATGCACGTGTCAGAGGTGACACACGAACTCATTTTTTTGGTTGATTTTTCTTTGTTAAATGGCATTTAAATATATAAAATAAATATCAAAAATATACATCTTTGTTTTACTATGGTTGCAAATATCAAAAAATTTCTGTGACACGGCCACCAGAGTTGTTAGGGTTTTTGAAAATGCTGACACGCCGAGCTCAAAAGGTTCGCCATCACTGATAGAAATGAACAAGAGCAGCTATGACCCAACACAATTTTATTTCTGGACACTGAAATTTTAATTTCATATAATTCTCATGTGTCATGAAACATTATTTTTCTTTTGACTTTTCCCCAACCATTTTCAAAAATGTAAAAGCCACTCTTAGTTCATGGGCTGTATAAAAACAGGCAGCAGGCTGGATTTGGTCAGCTGACTGTGTTTCACCATTTCTGCCCTAGGTGACTTGTTCTCAAACTTCAATGTACTTTATTTAAATCACCAGGTATCAAAAGGGGATTCCCAAGCATCACCCAGAGACAGTGGTTCAGTGAGGAGTCCAGGAAGCTGTAAAGTGTTTGCAGCTGGCACATAGTAGGCACTCAAAAAATGCTCATTTAGCCCGGCCAGTGTGGCTCAATGGTTGAACATCAACCCTTGAACCAGGAGGTCACGTGAATTCGAGCACATACAGGAGTTGCGGGCTCGATCCTCAGTAAGGGCCAGGCAGGAGGCAGCCGATCAAAGATTCTCATCATTGATGTTTCTCTCTCTCCCTCGCTCCCCTTCCCTCTCTCTGAAATCAATAAAGACACATTTTTAAATGCTCATTTAATAAATGAAAAAAAAAAATGCTCTAACAAAGCACCTCGGTGAGCCAGGAAGAGGCTGTTGCCAATACTTTGAGAAGTGCCACTTCACACTGGAAAACAGAGGGAAACTTCAGGCTCTATTTTAGAAGTCCTCACAAAAGTCTCCAGAGAACCTGGGGAAATCTTTTTACTCGTCCTCCTGGTCATCTCACTGCCTCAAGAGCAGTTTCCTGCCTTTCCCAACAGGCACACCAATAACCCTTCCGCAGACTTTGAGAGGTTCTGCCCCAAGCGATGGGGACACCCTGACACCACAAAGCCCCAGGGGCCGCTCTCCCCGCACCCAGCACCGCCCCGATGGAGGACACCCACAGCCGTCCCGCCAGCACAGCCCCCAGAAGCCTGCTCCCCGGCCTCGAGGCCGGAAAAGGCCCAGCGGGACCCAAGGGAGGGCGCCTGTCAATCCCACGGGATGAGGACCAGACCCTCCTCCAAAGGCAGAAAGCCCCACACCCCTGGCCCCGCCCCGGCACC